ACAAGTATATTTATACTGCATTTCTGGCGCACCCGACCTATGACTACAGCCCTCTCATCGAAGACCAGAACTTTGTGTATTACGCGACGGCCGAGCCGTTGAGGGCCGACACGGACCCGACCCGCGGTCCCACCACTCTCTTCGAGCTCATCCATAGGGGACAACCAACACCGCAACTCATTAAAAAGGTTTGCAATTTTGTTAATGATTTGATTGTGTGTTTTATATGATTTTGAATGTGTTTTGTTTGTTAGCTGGACATGGATGTAATGAAGTTGTTTGGCTGCAACTTCACCACCACATCCCATATCGTCAGTTATATAGTGTTTGGCGCTATAATACTGATTCTGGTCTCCCTTTTGCTCGCTATGTCGTGTTTCGCCGTTATTTATAACTTTGTCCTTTGTATGCGTCAATTGTCCACACTTTTCATGTGATATCAAGTGATTGTTTTGTATTTTTGTTTAATCTAATAGCAAACCAGAGGAAGATTAGGCTCGTCGCACGTCAGGATCGGACTCCTGAGTCCGAGACTCAGACTTATAACATGGGATCTGAGAGTCAAAATCCTCGCATCACTACTCGTAGTGTTGTGACAAAGGATGGACAGACATCTAAAAGAAGTGCTATCATATTGTAAATCAAAATAACATGTTTTTATTAGTTAATTTGTATATTAAATCCTAAATTCATTTGTAGATAATAATTGTTTAATAGGTATTTGAAATTTATTACATGTATTCAATGGAAAGATATATTTCCTTTATATTTTTTGTTTTCTAATTAATAAACAGTAAATTCTCAATTAATTTGACATTTAATTAAAATTACAAATCGGAAAATTGTTTTTATTAGTGAAAATAATTTCTAAAATATGAGAAAAATACTTTGTAAATATCCTAAATGAGTCACAAAAATAATATGAATTTACATTAAATGAATTATAATAATTTCTAAATGTGATGAAATCATAACAATTTAATTTATTTGCAATAAGTTATTGTCAATAATATTATATTGGAAAAATATGAAGTTCATTTGACATTATTAATAAATTGCTGTCTCATTTAACAAATGCATTGTGATTATACTAATATTATTACTAATAATTTATTAGTGTTTAATTCAATTATTTCTACAATTAATAGAAATTTATTAATGATTTGCAGTTTCATATTGCTATAAGTATAGTAAAAATCTTAAATATAAAACATTTATATTTCTGTTAATATCTTTAGAGAATCTAATAATTTAAAAATATTAAATATGCAGATAATGTTAATAATAAGTTCACTTTTTACCATCATATTTGGCATACACCGGGTACTCGGTTCACTCGGGCAAAGTTGTCCACCCATTCAATCGATGGGTAACATGAATGGAGAGTCTGTATGTATTAATATAAATAGGCTATTATTAATAGCAAACAATTGTATAATTAATATTGAATAAAAACATCTCAGTTAATGGGTCTGTGGTATGAATTGGAGAGATTCTCCGATGTTTACGAAGCGCTATTCAAATGCCAAACCGCTAACTACACAATGATGGCCAACGGGACCATCGATATTGTTAATACTGGCTATACCTATATGTGAGCGCATAATTGTCACACTAATTAATCGATATATTTTTGTGACAAATTAATAATAATTGTTTATTTTAGCGGTGAGTATCCAGTGGTATATCAGGGTTACGGAACGCCGCAATCAAACAATACCAGTAACGTGTCGGTCGTTTTTCCCAAATGTAAGTTAATAAAATTATTTTAGTTATCTAGTTTGTGACAAAACATTATTTTACCAATCAACAGAATTATAAGAATTTATGTATATATTAAGCTCATTGTTTTATATTAATAATACTGTAGTTAAGCCCATGAATGCGGACATTTTGGTTGTGGCCACAGATTATACCTCATATGCGGTGATGTATTCGTGCTCTGATTTGTACTTCAATGTGAAACAAGGTTTGGCATCACTTAATAGTATTTCACATAACAGTTAATTTACATTATGTTAATTGACAGAAAACGCGTGGATTTACGGTCGAAACAAAACTATATCATCGATTAATAACCAAACAATGACACAATTAATGCAAAATTTAACTTCAATGGGAATCTCGGTAAACAACTTTGACTTAACAAAACAGGATTGTGATAATTGAGACTATTGTATTAAATCCTTATTATAAACATGGTTTAATTTTGTAAATCAAAATTTGCACTTTATATAAAACCACTATTTAGTATTGTATTTGCTATGAAATAAACTATATTTCTAATAATTTTGTCATTTATTTTATATCAATTGATGCCTAGAATTACTATTATAAGTATTTCTTCAAATAATATCTCAAATATTAAATATCATACAAATTGCAAATATAGTATCCAATTCAAAGTCTTTTGAATATACCCTGAGCAAATCAATAAAAATAACTTTTGTTTCATTTATTAACTGTTTTTAAATTCAAATTGTTTTGATATTAATTTATCTATTATTACGTTATGTTTCACACAATTATAAATATTTATAAAATAAATACAAAACCAATTGAATGAACGAATAAAGGTTTTAATGTTTTATTTAAAGATTTGAGAGAAATTAAATTTACAATATATTAATAAATGGTCTTAAGATTAAAAATAAGCGTTTTGTTAAAAAGTAATTTAATGTTTTTAAAAATTTAAATGTTCACTCAAAGAGCGGTGGAAATAATGTTTGCAATTAATTGAATGCAAGAATTAATTGCAAAAAACAATTTAATATCAGTTTTATATCATTTGAATCAAACACTACTCAATAGTAAGCAGAAACAGAAAATCAAATCAAATGATTGGAAACGAAATCAGAATAATATTTGAAATAAAATAATTGATACAAAAAAGTGGACAAAAATTAAATGAATAATTGAATCAAAATAAAGACAACAGATAATTGAGTGATTGATTCATACGATCCTTCAGTCATCACCAGTGATGGCACTCATGTCAATACCATGAGCACTGGTGGCGGCGATGGGCGACGAGTTTTGGATGCGATTAGCGGCTCGCGAACGCGTCGACGGGCCCTCTGAGGGCGGAACCACTGACGAAGAGGTGGAAGCGTTGGTCGTGTCCATCGCTGTGTCTCCGGTCGGCTCTGGCGAGAAGTGTTTGGCCATATGCTTAGTGAAGGCAAAGTAATCCACATATGTTTTATCGCATTCCGGACACATCACTGTTGGGCACAAAAACACAAATAATTAAAAAGTTTACATTATTTTGAGATCAATTGGAAAAAACATACTTTTGTTATCCAAATCAGTGCCGATGCGGTCAGCCTTCTGGCCGTTCACATCCTTTTGAGTCAACACATGTCGGGCGCCGTCGGCCGCAGCGGCGGTATTCACTTCTGATAACTCCTGTCGGTTAAGTGCCATCATCTCAAGAAACTGTCGTACAATCTGATCCATCATTCGGTTGCCGTTGTCGTCGACTGTGTCCGCCACCCGATTGGCCGTCGCTTTATATACCTCTTCGGCTTTCTTCATGATATACTCGACTCTCAAGTTTTGGCGTTTCTGTCAATTAATTCTCGTTAATCATCACAACTGACGGCAACTAAACGACTGATATTTACGGCGAGAAGTGTCGACTTCTGGATGTGTTCGTTGCGTTTCTTCTGCGCCGACACTTTGCCCACGAGTTTAGTGACGAGTTTGCGACTGTCGGCCAACTGTCGGTCCGCTTTGTGGCACCGGTTCTCCAGTTCTCGTTGCCGGCGTTGCGCGCAATCGGCCGCCGCCTGTATAGCGATCACATACCTCTCCTTTATCTCATTGTTCTTCACGACAGATGTGGACAACTGGTTCTCGAGCTCTGCCATAGCCTTCTCTGTGTCCGCCAGTTTGGCGCTGATGTCAGACCTCTCCTGTCGGCTCTTGTCGTTCTCTGCGGTCAACGCTTGGATCTGTTGCTGGAGTTGTGCGCACTGTTCGCGAGCGGTGGCCAACTCTTTGCCGCTGCGGTCGGCGACTGTCTTCAGCTCAGCCTCTTTCTGGAGCGCGTATTTGGCCTCAGAGTCTCTCCGATCGGTCAACAGCTTCTGGTTGTCGGCCGCCATGTCGTGGATCTGCTGCTGGAGCTGAACCAGAGTTGCCTCCAGCGATCGTCTCGTGTTTGAGGGCCTCATTGGTGGCCACGCGTCCGACCCGTGCGGACAGTGCGTCGACACCCGTTGGGGGTGATCTCTCCCGGTCTGTGGCCGCGGCTCTGGTCTTAAAGGGCGCCGACTGTCCGCTCGTATCCATTCGGTTAAGGTTTGGCCACATTTCAGACATTTCACTGCATTTTATAGGAAAAAAAGCTTAATTTCAATGAAAATGATGACTACTTTTATATGTATATCAATACTACAGTAATCGTAAGATTCATTGCATTGAATATTAGTTAAAAGTTACATAAAAAGTAAAATTAAAATCCAATTCAAACTTACATTCAATGATGGCTTCAATGGTTGAATGAGTGGTCAAATGCTTTCAATGATCTCTCGCTTCACTTTCACTCGCAATCAAAACGTATTGCTTTTGAAACACAAAACTTGTGATTGAAATGTGTTTAGAAATACAGACAAACACTGCTATTGTGTGCGAAATGAATGCAATAAAAGCGCGATTGCATTCATTGTATAGGATTTTGGTTACTTTTTTACTGCCATTAAACCGGGCGTTGACTGTAGATATTATCTATTACTTTGTTTAGCGCCTATTTGTTAACCAAAAACTTATTACAGTATTCATTGAATACATGCAAAATAATTGAACTATGAATTAAAAGTCATTTAATATTTATCGCTTGTTCCCAAAATATGGTAAATTACATGCATTTCAATGTTCACTGCAATACAAAAAATGCAAAAACAATTGAATATCAGTTTTATGTCATTTAATTCAAACACTAATCAATAGTAAGCAGAAAATCAGATCAAATGATTGCCAAATAAAATCAAGAAAAGTATTTGAAATAAAATAATTAATACAAAAAATGGACAAAAATTAAATGAATAATTGAATCAAAATGAAGACAACAGATAATTGAGTGATTGATTTACGCGAGCCTTCAGTCATCACCAGTGATGGCACTCTTGGAGATACCATTACCACCGGTGGCGGCGATGGGCCACGAGTTTCGGGTTTAAATGAAACTATGTTATTATATTAACACTTTATTGATTACATTTAGATCACATTTAAATCCCAAACAATACGGTTATTTTGTACCAACATTAAAATGCTATAAAGTTTTATATTTATAATTAATTATTCATAAAGATATCTGTTATTAATAAATAATACATTTTATGATTAAGTTAATGATAAATATGTTGTAATTTTCAAAACACAATTAAAAATAGTGTACAAAAATGAAACAGAGTTATGATTATATTTGCAACTTATATTTAGGACAATATTGAAATACAATTCAATTTATAAGTTTATATAATTAATTGATTGTAATATTAATTAATAAATCAATTTATTCGGTTCATAAAAATATAATTTATAAATACATTTACTTCATGTAATAATGATATAAATAACAAAATGCTATAAATTTGCAAATTTTATGCAAAATAAAGTTATATAAATGAATACACATTTCTGTATAACTTTAGCCGTACTTCTCATCTGAATATTCAGAGAAAATCCAAAAGTTATTAATTTTGTGCCCAAAAAAGGAAAGCAAAACACAATAAATCACTGTTTGAATGGATTTCATGACAATCGTAATGAAGACATCAATTTGTTTTCAAAGGTTTATCTAAATATATTGTTTTAAAAAACATGAGATCTTGTTATGCGATAAAATATGTTTAAAATTACACAGTTTTAACCGTTTCTCAACTAATTTGAAAATTTTCATATATTTTTACATTTATTAAGAAATTCAAAGACATTTTTGAACTAAAAGACCAGTTAATTACACGACAATTATAATCATTTTGCTTTCCCTTTGATTTAAATTAGAAATAATATTTGTTTATCTCTNTATAATCATTTTGCTTTCCCTTTGATTTAAATTAGAAATAATATTTGTTTATCTCTTATCACAAAAATTTATTGTTATTTTAGGCAAATATTTATACAGAACTTTCACTATAATTAAAAAAATAATAATTATTATTAATACCAACTCTTCAATGGGTTCTCGTTATGACTTAATTAGTAGAAAATTGTTTCACAAAATCTTCCTTTAAATCCTAATTATAATGAGATTTATTACTCCTTTTAATAGAAGTTTTTGTTTGTAATTATGTAATAATTTTTGTTGTGATTATTTCACGCAGAGAG